CCATGTTTACTAACCATCATGCAGGAAGTTGAAACATTGCTATAAAACAGCATTACAGCAGAATCAAATGTAGAGACAAATTAATTGAGAATGCAGTCAAACCAGAAAAAAAACAATTGTTTTGCACTGTCATGGTAGTCAATGCAGCTATTATTAGTCAAACAATAGCAAGGTAAGGCCTTTGAAAATAAGGTCAACGTCTCTAAAGAAACATGAGGAAACTGTCACTAGCTTGTACAGTACCTTCATAATTAAATAATTATACAATAACACACAAAAGAAAAAGTGGTACTATCTAATTAGATTAATCTAATAATGTAATGTGAATAAGGAATAAATGGTTCCTACACCATGATACTGAATCTAAATGTAAGGTATAAACTATGCATAGCCATTTTTTACACTCCTCAGTCACCCTCTTTGTCTCCAATGAAAGCTACTGCCTCCAAGGATTTGATGGAAGTGACTGTGGACATCATAGACACAAGGGTGTGTAACTCCATATCAGTATATGGAGGTGCAGTGACCAGAAACATGATCTGTGCTGGGAAATTGGAGGGAGGCAAAGATTCCTGCCAGGTATTTTCTAAACCAACCATTAACTCAGTAAATTCATTTAAGATACTGTGATATCATTGAATACTATAGCTGATTGTTTCATGTAGACAGAGTGCCAAAATGCAATTCGATCAAAGCTTATCTGCTATAAAGTACAGCATTAAGAAAATTATTTAAGATCAGGTGTAATGCTGGGCCTTCTTAGAGAAATAATACAACAATGACATTAATAAAACAAAAAATGACAAGCTTTGTATTTACTGTGTTTGTTTAAAAAAAACTGTAAATTGATGCAGAAATGTGTGTAAATTATTGCACTTTAATTAACTTGATTGGAATTATTGCATCAGTACGTTTAGTGCAGGTTCATGCAGGTTCCTATTGTGAAACAGAGTGCAGTGAAAGAAAATAATGAAACAGATTACAATACTTTGTGAATTTCCCTGTTTACTTGAATATATTTAAAATCAATTAAAAGTTGTTGCTCACTGACAATAATGCATTCTATTTAGGGTGACAGCGGGGGACCTCTGGTCTGTCAGGCTGACAAACGTTGGTACCTAGTAGGGCTCACAAGCTGGGGAGTGGGCTGTGGTGAAAAAAACAAGCCAGGTGTTTACACACGAGTCAGCAGTGTTCTCCCCTGGATCTATAGCAAAATGCAGGTAAGACTAAAGAAAAGAAAAAATAATAATATATATGGTCAATTTTATATGTCTAGCCTACACTGGTTTTTACAGTTGGATTTGTTTTTATTTCTCACAGCAAGAAAAACCTTGATGTACCTCCATCTTCAACTCTTTCTAATGAAGTCTGAACTACATGCTCCTCTTTGACAAAGAAATTGCTCACACATCAAAACAGCCTAATAAGAAGGAACTCCAGACTGATAAAGAGACTCACAAAAGTTTGAATGTTGGCTTAGCAGAAGTCCAGAAGGATAAAAAAAATTATATTTTTTTATATTTAGGTTTGTGTTTTTGATCATGGGTGTTTCATTCTTATAATAATCAGGCTTTAAAAAGGCCTCACCCTCCTCTATTGAATTTGTTTTAATGACATTTATACTGTGATCCCTTTGATTAAAGATATACTTTACAAATAATGAAGGAATATACATATATATATATGAAAAAACTGTGCAAAGGTGTGTTCTTTTTTGGGCTTCATCTGTTTATTGTTGTCTGTTTACCACATAGAAATGCAACACTTTGTTCTTAGTTTCTTCCAAAATTAAACATTAACACATGTATTTGGAATTTTGTTTTGTGGATTTTGTTTCACCATTGCCCCTGTGATTCTTTCCATCAATTTTCTGTCACGCTTTATCCCTGCTGGGGTCGAGAGGGGTGCTGGTGCCTATCTCCAGCTGACTACAGGCGAAGGTGGGATACACCCTGTACAGGTTCCCAGTCCATCGCAAGGAAACACAGAGAAGAATGGAACAAACAAGCTTTCACAGATACACACACTCAATTAAGGAGAATTTAGAGAAGCCAATTAACCTAACAGTCATGTTTTATGACTGTGAGATGAAGCCGGAGTACCCGGAGAGAACCCATGCATGCTCAGGAGAACATGCAAAAACCTCCCAGGCCAGGAGTCAAACCCAGAACCTTCTTGCTGCAAGGCAGCAGTGCTACCCACCGCTCCACTAGGCAGCCCTGTTATTCCTCCAATTTGAAAATAACAGGTACATCTAAAAGATTTCAATATGCACAAAAAAATATTTATATCAGCAGTATCAGTTATATCAGTCAAATTTAACTTTTTAAAACTAATTATACGTAGGTTTGTAGCAAACAAAGTGAAAATTTAGATTTTTTAAAATTCCATGACTACTGTGCAGCTAATGAAGATCAAAATTCAGTTTAGAATATACCAACAGAAACTGGCTACACAATCAGGGTGACATCTGCAACTAGGATCCAGCAGACAATTGTTAAAGAGGGAAAAACGATCATTACCAAAAAAGCTGTAGCATATCGGAAGGAAAAAAGTGTTGCATGTGCACAACTCAGAACAACTTGGCTAGTCAGTGTTACAAAGATTTCAGATAGAAGTACATTTTGTATTTCATTTAAAAATCTAAGCCAAGGTGGTTGAGGAAAAACTAGAGCGACCACATTTCTTTAGGTCAATTGTGAAGTATACAAATTCCCTAAAGATTTTGGAAGCCTTGTAATCTACTTCCAAAGATAATATGGACATCTGGGTTTCATCATTCAAAGTCATCTCTTTAGTGAGGCTTCATCAATAAGATGATTTATTAATTTAGAACCACTGCTTTTATTATGATGATTGTCTAAAGGAAGGCTATAGAATTCATGGAGGGGTCTGAAATTGTCATCATATGTGCATGTCCACTGTAAGACACATAATCTAAAAAAGATGAAAAATCCAGAAATCACAATGCATGATTTTTTTTCCCCCCACTATTTTTTGTATGAAACGGCTGCAAATAAGTATTTGAACACCTGAGAAAATCAATGTTAATATTTAGTACAGTAGCCTTTGTTTTCAATTACAAAGGTCAAACGTTTCCTTTAGTTTTTCACCAGGTTTGCACACATTGCAGGAGGGATTTTTTCCCACTCCTCCACAAAGATCTTCTCTAGATTAGTGAGGTTTCTGTGCTGTTGCTGAGAAACACTGAGTTTGAGCTCCCTCCAAAGATTCTTTATTGGGTCTAGGTCTGGAGACCAGCTAGGCCATGCCAGAACCTTGATATACTTCTTAAAGAACCACTCCTTGGTTATCCTGTTTGCTTTGGGTCATTGTCATGTCTGGAAGACCCAGCCTCCACCCATCTTCAATACTCTAATTGAGGGAAGGAGGTTTTTCCCCAAAATCTTGCCAGTCATTCTCTCCCTCATGAGGTGAGGTCACCTTGTCCCATGTGCAGAAAAGCACCCCCAAAGCATGATGCTACCACCCCCATGCTTCACAGTAGGGATGTTGTTTTTGGGATGGTACTCATTTTTTATTCCTCCAAAAACAGTTAGTGGAATTATGACCAAAAAGTTAGATTTTGGACATGATTGACCTGACCACATGATTTTCTCCCATGACTCCTCTGGATCATACAAATGATCATTGGCAAACTTAAGACGGGCGTTGACATGTGCTGGTTTAAGTAGGGGAACCTTCCGTGTCATGCATGATTCCAAACCCATCCATCCATTTTCAGACAAGCTTTATCCGAGTGGGGTCGCGAGGGGTGCTGGTGCCTACCTCCAGATGTCTACAGGCAAGAGGCAGAGTACACCCTGGACAGGTCGCCAGTCCATTGCAGGGCAACACAGAGACAAACAACCATTCACACCTCAGGAGAATTTAGAGAAGCCAATTAACCTAACAGTCATGTTTTTGGACTGTGGGAGGAAGCCGGAGTAACCGGAGAGAACATGCTCAGGGAGAACATGCAACTTCCATGCAGAAAGATCCCAGGCCAGGAATCGAAACCAGAACCTTCTTGCTGCAAAGCAGCAGTGCCAGACACTGTTCCAAACCATGACATCTTATTGTATTACCCGTAGTAACCATGGAAACTGAGGTCCCAGCTCTTTTCAGGTCATTGACCAACTCCTCCAGTAGTTCTGGGCTGATTTCTCACCTTTCTTAGGATCATTGGATCCCCATGATAGTCATGTTTAGCTTCCTCCCTTTTCTGATGATTGCTCCAGCAGTGGAGTTTTTTTTTTTAATCAAGCTTCTTTGCAATTTCCTCTGAGCCCTTTCCAGTTGCAGTTTCCATTCTTGTGGAGGTTACAATTTTGTCTCTGGTGTCTCTGGACAGCTCCTTGGTCTTTGCCATGTTAGTAGATGGATTCTTACTGATTACATGGGGTGGATCGGTGTCTTTATGCAGCAAATGACCTCATATAGGTGCATCTAATTTAGGACATGGAGTGGAGGGGGACATTTTGAAGGCAGGCTAACCTTTGATTGTCAGAATTCTAGCTGATAGAAAGGTGTTCAAATGCTGCATAAATACTTAAAAAATCATATATTGTGAATTCTGGATGTTTTTTATTTATTATTATGTCTCTCATGGTACACATGCACCTACAATGACAATTTCAGACCCTCCATGATAAGTGGGAGAATTTGCAAAATAGCAGGGTGTTCAAATACTTATTTTCCTCAATGTATGTGAATATGCTTTTTATTACTCCCACATCTACACACAAAGACATCTTACACTTTTGTTATGTAATATTTTGTTAAAAATAGAATTAAAGTTAAAATGAGCAAAAGTAAAGGCTTTCAAATTACATCACATTTCAATCAAACATTTGAAATTAATCACTAATAAAGTTTTGAAAGATATTCTAATGCAGCAGTAGTTGAACATTTACTGGAAATATATGACAAGAAGTGAATGTGATGCAGTTGAGAAACATGTTGCCCATCTATGGGGAGCGAGCAAATCCGAGGAGAGACAGAAAGGGTAGAGACAGGAAAGATCCAACGCACTGAGAAAGCTGTTGCTGCAGGAGCAGTTGCTGTAATCAGCTCTGATTTTCCACAAGTCGTGTCTATATGATCATTGTGCAACATACTGACAGATGAGCAGACTTTCCTAAACCAAATCTTAGAATATTTTCCTTCTGTGGACCATAATACCTTTTTTTTTAAGCCAGAGGCCCTCCAAAAAAACAACAGGTAAGTTAATTAACGCATATTTGATTTCTTACATTTCCACTGCTGTGTATATCCAAAGGGAAAAAACGATCTTGCATTTATCTTACTGCTCGTCATTGATTATTCACCATGAACAATGTTGTTCCGCACGCTAATTAACTTAGATAGAGGCAATTAATATTAGTTGTAGTTAAACAGTGAGGGCGTGTCTGCTGTGGATGTAGCGCACGCCAAAACGCGGGTAATGGCGCGATTCATTCACTGCTTCACTGATGCAAAGGTTTTTGGTATTATATGTAAGATATAAACACCGTTTTCAATGAGGGCTTTGCAAAAAAAAAGAAGAATAGGCATCATGATAGAGAGGAGTGATGTCTTTGTTTCCTGACACAGAGGACGATCCACAGGTTGGGGGGATTCATACGCTGTCGTCACACACTGAACGTTATTTTTTATTTAATTATTTATTTTGCTCCAGAGTATTATGTCATAATTACAGGCGGATTATAGTTTAAATCGTTGTAGATTTGCAGGTGATTTCTATAAGAATAGGATCAACTTGAATTCATTATGTGACATATGTATTTCTATCGAAATCGATAATTTGATGATTTTTAACCTTTTATTTTTTTACTCTACATCAGTCCACCACACCCCTTTTCCCTCGATTATTCCTGCCTGTGAAGACATGTCAGCCTCTTCATTGTCCCTGCTTGTGTGGTGACACGAGGCCACTGTCATGGACCCCTTTCTAGTTCAGCCGCATTTTATTATTGGGTGGTGTGGAACGACGCACGTTGTTGTCATGGTGATTTCACATTCTTTTATTGTGATGATGGTACAAGGAGGCAAGTTATTGCACATGGTTTATGGAGAGGGGTGTGACCCGATTAGGTGTCCTACATTCAAGATGAGAGAAAAAGAAAGAAAGAAAGAAAGAAAGAAAGAAAGAAAGAAAGAAAGAAAGAAAGAAAGAAAGAAAGAAAGAAAGAAAGAAAGAAAGAAAGACAGAAAGAAAGAGAAAATTACAGTGCCATGTTTTTTCTTTTTCAATAAGAAATTAAAGTATATGTCTTGGTGGTTTACCATAAAGGGAAACCCTGCGATATAGCACAATATTAAAACATTAAGTGTTTATGCCTTGTGCATTCTATGCTTATGTGACTTCTGCAACATACCGCCTCTCTTCAGACATTGCCTTCCCTGCATGTGCTTCACCAAATCCCATCAACAGACAGTCTTTATTGTCCCCTGGGTCTGCTTCTTGTCTCCTACCTTGACTGTCTATAAGCCTCTTGTCAGAAAAAACAAACCCCATCTGTTCAAACATTGTTTTTGTCTTTCTCCTTTGTCCTGCTCTTATATCTCTTCACAAACAAAAATCTCATAATTGAATAAAGCAAAATAGATTTAGTCTTTATTCGTCCTTGGAAATAGAAATTCAGAATGTATCAGTCACAGAGTTACTGGCAGATAGAATACAGTAAAGTAAATATAGTGGAACAAGAGTAATAACAAGAAATGAATAAAGGAAAGGAATTTCATTTTTTTTTTAAATATAGCTTTCATTTTACAAGTTAACTACATTATACCAGTTCTATTTTTCTTATTCAAATTGTTTGGTCTCTTCAAGACACTCGGAGATATACTCAGAGCAATACCTTCAGTTAGACCCCATAAACAGCACTGCTAGCAACAAACTGCACATACTAAAATCCTCGTGCTTCAATTTCTTTACATTTATATAACCAACTATAGCCATTTCATGAACATAGCAAGAAAGAAAATGTCCTGATTGTTGAAATAAAGCCACAATGTCAGAATTTACTGGTTAGATACTGTCTGTAGAAACAGATGGAGCTGCATCAGGGTTATTTTTGTTCAACTCGGACATTGCAGCTTTTTTTTTTTCATTCAGTCTGATGGGCTGCTTGTTATGTTTACAATTTTTTCCATATACGTTGAATGTTTTGGATTTGCTCAAGTGGACATTTACCCTTAATTTATCAAGTTATTTCTGTTAAATGAATACAAGGCTTGAATGTAAAGACAGAATTGCAGCGATTTCCATCCTTTAACCTTTTATAGCGTTTTTTATTTCCACTTACATTCATGCCATCCATATTTATTTTGCAAAGCCTCTTTTGAGGACTTTAACTTACATTTTGACAAGCTCAGGTTTTCAATAAAAAAAAAAAAGCAAAAGATCAAGGCCTCAGATGATACAACAATATTTTTACACAAATCCTATGAAGAAAAATATACAAATCAAAACAATGTTGGTATTCATTCTTTTAGCACCAACAATGATACAATCTAGCGTGCTAAATATATTTATTAGCCAAATATAATAGAAGTAGAAGAAGTACAATCTTTTACAACCCAGATTGCAAATATTTTCTCCAAATTAAACCACAAAATGAGAGTTTAAATTAGTATCTTGGGCTCAGAGTCGTTTTTTTTTATCAATTCATATATATATATATATATATACACTCACCGGCCACTTTATTAGGTACACCTGTCCAACTCCTCGTTAACACTTAATTTCTAAGCAGCCAATCAGATGGTGGCAACTCAGTGCATTTAGGCATGTAGACATGGTCAAGACAATCTCCTGCAGTTCAAACCGAGCATCAGTATGGGGAAGAAAGGTGATTAGTGTCATGAATCGGTGTTTGTATGGAGGACCCAAACGCAGAGACCAGTAGGCAGAGGTGAATTAAAGTGGTTTTATTAAAGTTCACAGATCCAGGAGCAGGAATCAGAGTCCAAAAGTAAACAGCAAACGAACCTGAACCAAGGAGACATCAGTGGTAAATCCAAACTAGGAGCCAGGGAGAGATGAGGTACACAGACAGAAGTTAGACAGGATGTTTGACGAGGATCCAGCAAACAGGAACTGAACAGGGAGGGCTTTTAAAGGGGACAGAGACAGAGAGAGAGCTGACGAGGAAATTGGCAGCAGGTGCTTGGCAGGACAGAGAAACAGAGGAAGGGAGGACACAAGAGGGCAGCAGAGGACAACAAATGGATAACAGGAACAATCAGACCAGGACCATGACAATTAGAGTGACTTTGAACGTGGCATGATTGTTGGTGCCAGAAGGGCTGGTCTGAGTATTTCAGAAACTGCTGATCTACTGGGATTTTCACGCACAACCATCTCTAGGGTTTACAGAGAATGGTCCGAAAAAGAAAAAACATCCAGTGAGCGGCAGTTCTGTGGGCGGAAATGCCTTGTTGATGCCAGAGGTCAGAGGAGAATGGCCAGACTGGTTCGAGCTGATAGAAGGGCAACAGTGACTCAAATAACCACCCGTTACAACCAAGGTGGGCAGAAGAGCATCTCTGAATGCACAGTACGTGGAACTTTGAGGCAGATGGGCTACAGCAGCAGAAGACCACACCGGGTGCCACTCCTTTCAGCTAAGAACAGGAAACTGAGACTACAATTTGCACAAGCTCATCGAAATTGGACAATAGAAGATTGGAAAAACGTTGCCTGGTCTGATGAGTCTCGATTTCTGCTGCGACCTTCGGATGGCAGGGTCAGAATTTGGCGTCTACAACATGAAAGCATGGATCCATCTGCCTTGTATCAACGGTTCAGGCTGGTGGTGTCATGGTGTGGGGAATATTTTCTTGGCACTCTTTGGGCCCCTTGGTACCAATTGAGCATCATTGCAACGCCACAGCCTACCTGAGTATTGTTGCTGACCATGTCCATCCCTTTATGACCACAATGTACCCAACTTCTGATGGCTACTTTCAGCAGGATAATGCGCCATGTCATAAAGCTGGAATCATCTCAAACTGGTTTCTAGAACATGACAATGAGTTCACTGTACTCAAATGGCCTCCACAGTCACCAGATCTCAATCCAATAGAGCATCTTTGGGATGTGGTGGAACGGGAGATTCGCATCATGGATGTGCAGCCGACAAATCTGAGGCAACTGTGTGATGCCATCATGTCAATATGGACCAAACTCCCTGAGGAATGCTTCCAGCACCTTGTTGAATCTATGCCACCAAGAATTGAGGCAGTTCTGAAGGCAAAAATGGGTCCAACCCGTTACTAGCATGGGGTACCTAATAAAGTGTCCGGTGAGTGTATATACTATATATATATATATATATATATATATATATATATATATATATGTATACACTACCATTCAAAAGTTTTTGAAATGTCCTTATTTCTGAAGGCAAAGCACTGTACTTTAAACTACTCTTAACTTTAAAGAAATACACTCTATACATTACTAATGTGGAAAATTACTATTCTAGCTGCAAATGTCTGATTTTTGGTGCAATATTTACATAGGTGTATAGAGGCCCATTTACAGCAACTATCACTCCAGAAATGAAGGCTATTCCATGCGAGAAATTGCTAAGAAATTTAAGATTTCCTACAACGGTGTCTACAACTCCCTTCAGGGGACAGCAAAAACAGGCTACTGAGGGTACTATTTAATGAAGATGCCAGTTGGGGACCTGTGAGGCATCTGTTTCTCAAACTAGAGACTCTAATGTACTTATCTTCTTGCTCATTTATGCAACGCGGCCTCCCACTTCTTTTTCTACTCTGGTTAGAGCCTGTTTGTGCTGTCCTCCGAAGGGAGTAGTACACACCGTTGTAGAAAATCTTAAATTTCTTAGCAATTTCTCGCATGGAATAGCCTTCATTTCTAAGAACAACAATAGACTGTCGAGTTTCAGATGAAAGTTCTCTTTTTCTGGCCATTTTGAGCATTTAATTGACCCCACAATTGTGATGCTCCAGAAACTCAATCTGCTCAAATGAAGGTCAGTTTTGTAGCTTCTGTAATGAGCTAAACTGTTTTCAGATGTGTGAACATGATTGCCAAAAGGGTTTTCTAATCATCAATTAGACTTCTGAGCCAATGAGCAAACACATTGTACCATTAGAACACTGGAGTGATAGTTGCTGGAAATGGACCTCTATACACCTATGTAGATATTGCACGAAAAACCAGACATTTGCAGCTAGAATAGTCATTTAACACATTAGCAAAGTATAGAGTGTATTTCTTCAAAGTTAAAACTAGTTTAAAGTTATCTTCATAGAAAAGTACAGTGCTTTTCCTTCAAAAATAAGGACATTGCAATGTGACCCCAAACTTTTGAATATATATATCTATATATTTATATCTATATCTATATATATAGATATATATATTTCAAGTTTATTTAGTAGAGACAGACACACATTTACATAGACAAACTGAACAAAACAGCAGTCCCATGTTTTCCTCATAGTGCAATAGAAACTGCTAATTCACAACACTTTTGGGCGTTTAAAAAGTACCTCTAAAAATTAAATTAATAATGTAATGTAAATCCCCTTATTGTCCCACAATGGGGAAATTCTTTCTCTGGATTTTGACCCATCTCATTGGGGAGCAATGTAAGGTTAAGGGTTTTGCTCAGGAACCCAGAGTGGAGGTCAGGGGGATTGAGCCGGATACTTGCAACCTTCTCAGAGAACAATCGCACTGCTCTAACCCACTAGTCCTAACACTCCCCCAGGGATTTAGTGATTTAAAATAGCGCAACATAATATTGACAACATCTACAGACAAACAGAACAACATCAAAAATGGGTACAGTTCTGTTTTTGACATAACCAGAGTTTTGTTTGTTTTTCGATCATAATAAAACTGGTTATAGACTTTAAATCAACAGGAAGTGAGTTCCAAACTGCAGATCCTCTCACGGACAGGGCACTTGCTATGCATGGCCAGAAAATGTTTAGTTTGATTTGTCTTCACCCAACAGGATCCAAATATATATTTGCCTTATTTATATAGTGATTCTTACATGCATTCCTGTGCAAAGTAAAACTCCCGTCTTTCGTACCAACAAATCAAGAGTCATTTAAGGGTCTTTACAAACTGAATCTTTTAGAGTGAATAAATTCCAATAAATGTAACATTCTTCCACCAGGTGGCAGAGCCAACATTCCTATAACTTTAATATAGTGAACTTTTATGTCTGGAAAATCAAAGGCCTTTGCTGTCTTGATTTTTTTTTTCTCCCTCAGTTGCATCAGTTGAAGTTGAGACCAAACCAGATCCTAAACAGTGTACTCTAACAGAGAATTTTATTCAGGGGGTTAATGATTCCGAGACTGCATAAATTCATTTTAGGTCTGGTTTTGTTTTGAATTTGAAAAAGAGAAGTAAGATCAGTTTAATCTTCCTTGTTGAACTTTTCTTTTGTAATTTATGTATTGCAAACAGCTGAAAACGTTAAGCCCAATAAACCTGATTCAAGGATGACATTGAATTATTCGTGGCACAACTGTAAAAAAAACAATCTTGTGGAAACTGTGCATTGATTTGAACTTATCACCTCATGATGACTATATAGAGTAAAATATGGTTACTTTCTCTTTCACTCACCTCAAAACATTAAATGCAGTTGATTCATACCCTAATACAGTGCAACAGAACTTTATTTATACATCATTTTAAAAATAAAATGGGTGAAAAAAGTGCTGTACACTAATAAAAAAAATTAAATGCAAAGCAATAAAACAAATGCTAAATAGACAATAGATAAGAAAATTCAATAAAATAACTTCTAAAATTAAGTGAAAAGCCAGTAATAAAGAATGTGTTTAAAGAGGAGATTTAAAAACAGCAAGTGAATCAGTCTGTCTGATTTACAATGGCAGCTTATTCCACAGTTTGGGGTCAGCTACTGAAAACATTCGCTCACCCCTTAAATTCCTCCAGGGTTTTGGCACAAGACCATGTGAACACTTAACAAATAAAATGAAACACTGGCTCATTCCAACATAAAGAGCTTTATAGTAAACTTCAGTAATATTGGAGCTATAAACCTGCTTTATTAAAACCCTATAGATCGGTTCTCTCTTCAAATAAATAATTGGAGGGCTTGCAAACGATGTATATATAAGGCTTACACTAAGTGTATAGACTTCAGGTCATAATGATTGAGTTTTTACACATACAGTGACAGCAGATTTACGTAGGGATTATTTATTTATCTATTTTTGACCAATTGATATCAGAAACCGGTTAGATATAAATGATGGTTGATTCTGAGCAAATGTGGTGGAAGATGGAGATTCGTGCGAGCGCAGTGAGCAGTCTACATGAAAATGGGTCAAGGTTAATGGGAAGAAAGCCTCCTGACTTCCAAGAGGGGACTGAACATGTGAGGCTCTTGACATGGATGATACATTTCAACATCAGTTTCACTTTCAGATGTTTTGATTGAGCTGGTGATGTTTTCTGTGGTTCATGTTGCATATAACTTTATGTGTATGTGGTAAACTTTAGTGTAAAATCCTACATATAAAATAGTGTGTTTTTTCAAGAGATATATGTCATTATAAATATAATTGTGGCTATGTGTTTAACCTCTTCCACACACATTTCTTATTGAATCATCCCTTGTCTCTTATTCTGCGTCAACAGTTGCCATGGAAACTGTTTTGCTCTTTCTTTCTTCACTCTTGGTGTGTGTATCTGGTAAGTGCTCCCCTGTTCACCCAAAAACGAATGCACACACACATTCACAAACCATCCATAAGGAAGCTTTTTCATAGTAGCAGACAGTGATGGTTACAGGAAAAAAAAGGCCTGTCTGGGCATGACGTTTAGCAAAAGATCAATTACCACTTAAAGGCTTTATGTGTCAGTTGTATAAGCTGGCTCACTCACTACGATGTGTGAGGTCTTGTAAAATCTGGTTTGATTTGAATTAGTCTGTCTGCATAGAGTTAGAATGTGTTTGATCTCATCCCTTTTGTTAGATGATTAGATTTCCTCTTTTGCTTACTTCTCCTTCGTATTTGCTCTAAACTCCTCGTCTTTTCTGTACTTTTTAGCTGATGCAGACACCATTGGAAAAGGTAAGTGTGCTACATTTACTCACTACCAGGGTTAAATCTTGAGATTTGGTTTCTCGTTTGTCTCTGTAGGGACCAGTAGAATAAACAGTAGTAAGTCTGCAAAGAGATTACGGAAAATTCCTGTAACAAAATAGCAAGTCATTATGTTTGAGAAAATTAGAATGACTTAAGAAAAAAAGAAGCTAAATAAAAGAAATTATACATATTCCGTGTAGCTTAAATTTCACTGTATCTATGAAAGACATTCTTATAATCTTTACATTTGTCTTGATAGAGTCGTGTTTTTGTGAACATGTGTCTAATTGTTTAATTTCCAGCACTGGTTCGCCCCAGTGCTGTGTCCTCTCACACTTCTTGTGCATTATGTACACAGACCCCTGCAGGTGGAGATGGGTACCTGGTCATGTTCACTGAGAGAGCTCTGCTGACTCTTTTACAGGGCCCTAAATCAGGCAAACACAGAGCCTTGTCCAACTTTGTCACCTGGTGTAGAGAAAACCACTTGGACCTTAATTTGACAAAATATAAAGAACTTATCATTGATTTCAGGAAAAAAAAAGCTCAAAAACAGAACAATAGCAGTATTATCCAGATGAAAAGGTTAAATTATGGAGAGGTTTAGATACTTGGGCACCATATTTGATTCTGAATTTAACAACAGCAATGCCAACAGCAGATTTACCTTGCTGCACAACCTGAATTATTTAATTGCATCAAAACTCATTTCATGTGTGTTTTATCGTTCCTTTGTTGTAAGTCTCATAACTTTTTTCTTTATTAGTTGGTTTTATAGTTAAGGACAAAAATAGTTTGACCAGCATTGTGAAAACTTGTGAAGACTGCAGAAAGCTATGCATATCATCCTTCGATCATCCTTCTAAGCATATCATCCTTCAATCAGATCATGTTCTGATAGGCCGATTTGCCTGGGAGGCGCTATCGAGCTCCCAGTAGAAAAACAAATCAATATGCAAGTTCTTTTATTCCTTCTTCCATTAAGCTCTTAAATTGCAGATATTGTTCTCAGACTGGTTTTTATGTTGTTTTAATATTTCTTTTAAGTTTCATTTACCTTCATCTATTCATTCTGCCTAAACACTTGTCACTTCGCTGCTGATGGGAAACTGCTGCACTTAATGGCTGAATCCCCCACTTTTCCATCATCCAGTGCATTGATAAAGCCCTCTATGTCCATGTGTGTGGAATGTTTGTGTCCTTTGTTGCAACCACTGTCTGCGGACAGAATTGGCCGAAGGGGATAAATAAAGTTGTCTGAATGGGAATCTCAATTAATAGTTTATCAGACTTTCTAATGTTACCTCAGCTTTGTTGGATTTGCACTGTGTTTTTTTTTTTTTTTGTTGACTTTCACTAATTATCAGTCAAAAGTTCAGGTCACAGTTTAACAAAAAGCAAAATGTCACATAGCAAACGTGCAAATTAAAGCACACTGGTTCAAACACCACTGAAAATGAGCTTAGTCTTTATCAAAACCTGAATTTAAAATAGAAGAAATTTTACAGCAAAGAAAACCCATAGAAGAAATAATACTGCATGGTTACCAAAATGGAATATTCAGACTAAATGATAAAATCCAAAAGCTTAGATACTGGTTACTGGTCTGTTTTGGTCAGACCTATAAAGTGATTGGGCGACAGTGTCATGAGTCTGACAATAAAAAGGAAGAGCTAAGTAAAACACATCCTCCTTGGGGAAAATGCAAGGTAAAATATCTGTGTCACAAAGTAAACCAGCTAGGCTTGCTCTTTTTGTAAACATGCAATCATATATAGTAGGCATATTAGATCTGGATAGACATAATCAATAAGACATTTCAATAAACAGTGTTCCCACGGTTGGAGCTCAGAAGAAAAGAAATTAGATCAAGTAGAATAGAAATCGTCGTTAACCTGAAAAACACAAAAAACAATGAGGGTCAGTGCTGCACACACACGGTTAATCTTGCTGCGCTCTTCACAAAACTAAAAATATACTTTGCAAATCCACAGAAAACTCTTTAAGGGTCACTTTATACTCCACAGCCACAGCCTTTGTTGCTGCTGCGTTTTTGTTTCTTTAAATGTAGTTTCCATTGTATTTCGTAAATGTTAAAATACTTTACCCATTTTCTCTTAAAAGCATGATGTTATTGGACATGGATTAGGAAGTGGGGCACTGCTTTGTATTTTGATTGACATTTTGATTTAGATTATGATACAATGCAACAGAGGTGAAATATACACAGTGGGACCCTCTGTGCTCAGCCTCGGCCTGCAGGGTGTAACAGGAAAAACGTTGCATCAGATGTTGCAGAGACAGACACAAGCGGTTTGACTTGTCCTTCGCCGTGCTTCATAAAAATATGCTTTTCACAGACAAAAAACACACTTAGAAACTATACAATAACAGCATGGATTTAAACACTTGATGGCCATATAAAACTTTGCAAATTAAAAACATGAATGTAAAAACACTTTTTGCACTTAGCTAGTGCAGCTACTGTATGTTTACAATATTTGACAGTTGCGGGGAAAACAGATCTGCAATAACACACCCCAGCGCATTTAGGATGCGGTCTTTCACTGAAGGAGCTCTCCACTTTATCAACAGCTATATGCTGTTAATTTTGCTCCAGTCCTTCTGTCTTATTCCATCTCAGTAACTTAAGGGGGAACCCCAGAACATAGCTAACCTCTCTTATTCCTTGCCTCTGTTGAAACCTCGGAAACAGCAAATCAGCCATAATGTCTCCTTCTATGGCAAATCAGTCATGAGGGGTCTAAATTGAAATTTCCCTTTATTCAATTTGCCATCTTGTGGCAAATCTGCTAAGTTTTCCATCTTGTGACAAAGTCATACAAACTTTATAACAATACAGTTTGTCACACATAGTTAGGAGGATACAAAAACCATTAGGCTAATCTGGTTGCATAGAATGAAAATTATGCTTTGTGCAGATTCAAATTAGTTAGAAACAGACATTTTATTAATCAAGGATGGGGAATATTGTATAGGTTAAATGGTGGAGGAGATAAGCTATAGGGTGGAAACACATGTCAATTGTGGAAGGAGATCTGTAGAGAAGATGAGGCGAGGGTGGGGACTGACTATCCTGCACGACACTTATCATACATTTATTTTTGATCATTCATTTTTGTTTTGATAAAGGCTTATACATAGCTTAAAACATCCACCTCATTTAGGAAAATTCTCGCCTATTTTGCATACCCAAATGGAAAAGCAAATTAAATGTGTGATACATTATTTGAAAGCTAACACCTTTTGGTTTCTGAATATATAAATTAATATTGGGCGAGTAAAACAAGACCCAAGCTACATTGGTTCAAACATCCCTTAAAGTAGATTTTTTTTATCCTAGAAAATAATACCGTATTTTCACGACTATAAGGCGCACTTAAACGTCTTTTTTTTCCCCTCAAAATGTGCGGTGCGCCCTATGGTGCGGTGCGCCCTATGTGTGTTGTAACTGCGACTTTTGAGACCACCTCATTGAGGAGATGATGAAAGAGTGGCTGAATGTAAGGAGACCAGGTGTTTTTTTTCCACTCATCACCATCGCTGTTAATATGTAACTCCATGCGTGCCCATCTCACAGCTAATGTGAAAAACATGGGGAAACAAATTAACGCTGTGCTCGCTGTTATTCAACCGCTCGACATCGGTGTGAACCGGACCCAGCAGGTGCAGCAGAAGCAGCGAGTTTACATGCAAAGTCAATGGTTGACGCGCGTATAGGTGCAGCAAAAGGTCCCGCAGCGCGTTTTGAGCAGCAGGTGCAGCGCGTCGGGAGCGTTTAAGCATCTGACGCACCGCCAACGCGCTGCTGCAGCTCGAGATGGAAAAATTGAAGTTTTGCTGCTGGACGCGCCGCATCAACCAATCAGAGAAGCTGATCTGGGAGCTGACAGCGAGACAGACACAGCGCTCTGATGACATATGATATTAACGCAAATGAAAAAGGCTAGATGGATGAGGATATGATGAAAGCGTGGCTGAGGCAGGTGTATGTGAGGAGACCAGGTGGTTTTTTCCACACATCACCATCGCTGCGTGCTACGACGGAGTATTAGGGCCACACATGAAGAGAAAAAATATTTTTGCCATGACGAGATTAAACTCGACATGTCGACTTTAAACTCGCCATTTCGAGAATAAAGTTGAAATGTCTTGTTGAGTTTAATCTCGACGTGTCGACTTTAAACTCACCCTGTCGTCTTTAAACCTGCCCTGTCGACTTTAAACTCGCCATTTCGAGAATAAAGTTGATATATCGTGGCGACTTTAATCTCGACATTCCAAAGTTTGGAGAAAAGAGCAACCGCGCTCCACAGCTGCAGTCTGCGTTTTAAGAGTGAAGGTAGTCTTTGACGTGCTGCAACTGTATAACTGTATAATCATCACAGAAAGTACAATTTGACCAAATCATCTACACAAGGCATGTCTGATTCTGGATTCTGTGCATGTAACCTGTGCAGCGGTTGGCTCTCTTGAAGTAATTTCAACTTTATTGTCGACACGTCGAGATTAAACTCAACATGACATTTCAACTTTATTCTCGAAATGTTGAGTTTAATGTCGTCATGGCAAAAATATTTTTTCTCTTCATGTGTGGCCCTAATACTCCATCGTACTGCGTGCCCATCTCACAGCCGATGTGGAAAAAAAAGGTGAATCAAATAAACGCTGTGCTCGCCGTTATCCCGGGGGTCTGACAAAGGAACTTCAACCGCTCGACATCGGTGTGAAGCGGCCGTTCAAAGTAAGGCTGCGAGCGGCGTGGGAGCGATGGGTGACAGACTGAGACCACAGTTTCAGGATAAGTGGAAGGCAGCGCCGGGCAAGTTACGCCACCGTTTGCGGATGGATTGTTGATGCTGGGACTAACGTGTCTGCTGGCACTGTTGTTCAAGCTTTCGCAAAAGCCGGCATTATTTCTGAGGAGCCGCCCGGCACGGAAATTGACTCTGACAGGGAAAAAGGGAAATTGGCATGTCTGATTTAGCGCAGCTGTTTAATTCAGAAACAGAGGATCATGACTTTGATGGGTTTGATTAATACTTTGTAATAAATACATGAATAAAGCACAATCATACTCAGTTTTGCTCCCGCTCTTTTTTTCTACCTGAAAACTTAATTCAACAGCAGCCTCTGGGCTGGTCTCCTCCGCGTATACCGCGGTGGCTGGCAGGTGTTTTTTCATCTAAATAATCTAAATCTTGCAGCTATATTTGCTGTGATCAGTGGGAATAAAGTAGTTTTAATATGTTTTTAAGTGAGAAAGGCCACCTGAAAACTTCATAATTGCAGTCAGTTCATCCAGATTATCATCGTGCCTATACTATTTCTGCTGGAGGCGCTCAGACCCCCACATACCAGCGGTGCACCGACAGTAGAAATCCCTTCAACAGCAGCCTCTAGGCTGGGCAGCCTCCGGGTTCACCGCGGCGGCTGGCAGGTGTTTTTCATCTAAATATTTAAACTGCAGGCACCAGGATACCGGTAATAAAAGCGAACATATTCCGTCGGCAGGTTTCAGGATTTTAAGTTAATTTAGGAGTGATCACAGCTCTGTCATCTGCGATGTGTCTGTCTCACGGCCAGCTGCCAGGTTTGATTAATACTTTGTAATAAATACATGAATAAAGCACAGTCATACTCAGTTTTGCCCCCGCTGTATTTTTAAATACGCAGTAGAGGTATTTAAAGGTAGTAGAGGACATGTACCTGTATATAAAAAACGCGCCCTATAGTCCGGTGCGCCTTATGTGTGTGTTAAATACAGAAATGGGACACATAACTGAGAGTGCGCCTTTTAGTACGGTGCGCCTTATGGTCGTGAAAATACGGTAGGTCTTTTTTTGAACAGCAGTAATGATTGTTTGTTGTGGCTGCTTTGTCACGTTTACATTTTGACATGCTGCTATATCTGTGTTAAATGTGCTTTGGTGCTCACAGTGTCCATAAAATGAACTTGGGGGTTGAAGTGTGGAGAATCAAAGCTTTCCAACGATATCTAACATGTTTATATTCGTAAACATTCTACTGGTATAATTTTCATGCATTCTGAGTTATTAGTTGTAAACACTTTTAAAACGGTTTTGAGATGATAAAATGATCCAGGAGAGCTTTAGACATAAACCAAAGTTTGAGTCGTTGGGAAGTCTTCAACACTGTGGATCACAGTCTGACTAAACTTGATGTGTTTTCTTCAAAGACATACTGCAGAAAAAAAATACATAAAAAGTATTTTAATGTAGAAAATTGTTTATAGATATTATAATGTGTAACTGCAGTAGAACACTACAAGAGTCATACTGTTGACTCATGGAGATTGAATTCAAATGCAAATTACAATTTGTTAGACTTTTATTTAACAAACAGTTAAAATATTAGATTCACATATCCCTTTTCATCCACTGTAAAAGTAATGCACTTGTTACATGTTTCTCTCTATCCACATTTACCTCTGCATATCTAAATTAATGTGGGGCAATAACAAATGTCCTATAAGAGTAATAGCACATGTTCTGGCTTTGTTATGAAATATCAATTTGGCTGTAATTTCTGCTTAAAGCAGCCATCTAAATGCATGTTGCTGGTACAATTTGGAATAATGTATAAATACATATATATGGCAATTTACAGCTTAAGAGTGAGCAACATTCCCTTCTTTATGGAGCAACTGGAAACTGTCCAACATGGAATAAGTTAGTCTATTTATGTTTAATGGTGTTTAAAGGCATAGATCTGCATAATATTTATATGTAGTAAGATGTAGTCCGACAATGACAATGGAATGTTATGCATAAAATCAAAATGATAAAACATCTAAAGTAATAGCTCTCAACTGCCCTGTTGGGCCCCTGCTACCAAAGTCAAGGAAATTGTTTAGTCACTTATTAATTTAATGAGCTTTTAAACCATGTAATGGAAGCTGGAATGACATTTAGAGCCATAGATAATGGCCACTTAAAGCAACAGTGCATAACTTTTAACCTCAGTGATAACTTAGTTTTGTATATATTAAATAATTTTTAAAGTCAGCATACAGAACTTGCAAGGTATTGGCGCTCAATGTGGACTGCCCTTCTAAATGGTTAATGGCCTGTACTTGTATAGCACTTCTTCAAGTCAGGAGACTTGATCAAAGCACTTTACACTACATTCAATCATTCACCCATTCACACACACACACTGATGGTGGCAAACTTAATTGTAGCCACAGTTGCCCTTGGGCTCACTGACAGAAGCAAGGCTGCTTTACACTGGTGCCACCAGTCCCCCCAACCACCATCAGTAGGCAATGCAGGTGAAATGTCTTGTCCAAGGACACAATTACACTGAAAGCCAGAGCCTACTGTAGGCTTGAACCGACAACCTTCACAGCAAACTTCATCCAACACCACTGTCGCATCATGCCTGTTTATCTAACAGGCATTTTTGCAGTATTAGGTTTCCCATTGGATACACTTATGCTAGCCTGTGGAGTTAGACATCCACTTGCTTGTTTAGTGAAGGACTGTCTTGAGTGCTGCTGTTATTATTCAATTTGTTTAGGCGCTTTTTATGCTAGGTGAACATCACAGCCTTGATCATTTTCTATTGCAATTTCCCACTTATTTGAAACACCTACAGTCCCATGAATGTATAAACTGTTGTGTGCTGGCCCACTTAAAGCACTGTTCTGAAGGCTTTGACCATCCTGTTGTTTTATTGTTTTGTAAAATTTCATTTACAGCTCTATGTTTATTTGATATAAACTGTCTGTGCCTTCATCAAGAATGTGAAATTATATTTCTACACTTGCATTACAGGACATTTAGAATGGTAAATGGATGTAATTCTATAGCGCTTTTTCAAGTCAGGAGACTTGACCAAAGCGCTTTACACTAAATTCAGTCATTCACTCATTCACACATTCTCACATTCTCACACATTGATGATGGCAAACTAAAATGCAGCCACAACTGCCCTGGGACCCGCTGACAGAAGCAAGGCTGCCGTACACTGGTGCCACCAGACCCTCTGACCAACATCAGTAGGCAATGCAGCTGAAGTCTCTTGTCCAAGGACACAACGACACAAAAAGCCATAGCAGGGGCTCGAACTGACAACTCTCCAATTGCAGGGCAAACTCACCTGCACCCACTTTTGCACTTTAAATTAATAGACATTTTTTTGTTACATGGCTCTTTGCCCAGACAAAGACATGTGACCAACTTAAACGTGGCTCTGTGACCCAGCTTTGGGTCTAATATCTTAATTTGAGAAAAGGGACTGAATGGAGACATATTTTTAAGTTCACATACTCATAATAATCAACTTTTAGTTGAGTGAACACTGCCTAAGAGTTTATGATAGAATGAAAAATGAAAGGGTTGACTAAAGATTTTGGGCAGGAGTTCAAACTATTCTGATTAATCTTTGACCCCTTAAGTAATAAGAGACTATGATTTAATGGTGATGAAAGGAGTTGTCATAGGCTAAAAGCAATCAGCACATAAATATGCAGGATTCATGTTTTCATTTACTGTGGCTTGCTTTATTACTGAGAATGTTCAAACATTAGCCCTTCTCCCAAAATTGTATTATTCATGATTTTACAGTTTTTCGAGTATTTTCTTTTTTCTCTTCCAAATATACCAAATTTTTTTGATTTGTCTGGTGATTGTTTTCAGAATATCTTGGAATTTGATTTAAAAGAATCCTTCAAACTCAATGAGTCGATGCACTCAGCTAGGTTTCCTTTGATAGAATAAGCTTTAACTAATCTGACTGTGGGACTCAATTGAATTGCTGACATGACGTTTTGTGCATTGGTACTTTTTTAATAAGCTGAATAGAAAGTTGAATTGAGTGCATAAAAACAAAAAGGAAGACTACATATTTACATTTGTAATATGGTTTTCTTTGTTTTCTATATTTACAGAGGAGAATTCAGTTGACGAAAATCCCTTCATTTATGGTAGGTTTTAAGAAGATGTCTTGCAAACGCTGCCTGACCAAAGTATCTAATATATGAAAATGATAACTCAAAAATATTTTGGAATATGTGTAAATAATTACATTTCTTCTTTCCAGACTATGAGAGTTTGAGAATTGGGGGACTGGCATTTGCTGTTGTTCTGTTTATGCTGGGGATCCTTCTAATACTCAGTAAGCAGATTTTTAACTTATCAGTCCCTCTTTGATTGTCCCTATGTGCACTTTAACTTATTTAATTTTTAACATAATTTAAAATGACCATAATCATATTATTACTTTTGTATATTTACAATCCCACAATAAATTGTGAAAAGGAAGAGAATATGTAGTTTATATCATATTGTTTCCTTCTGCTTGTAGGTCGGCGATGCCGCTGTGGTGGAAAACAGAAGCCCAGGTAAGCCTAAGATACATATTAGGTAAAGAAACAATGAAACCTGGTTTGTGAGAGGCCCTTGATGTTTCGTTACATAACATAATTTAGTTTTGCTGACAAACTGCGGATTCACTCCACAGGGCCCCTGGAGACGAGGAGGTACAAGAAGAAAACCTTGTTGTCTCAAAGGGTAAGACAAACAGCTTAACACATAAATCCATAATTAAGTCAATACCCACTGCTAAGTCTGTGACCAAAGTGCAAATTAAATATTTTTTGGGATGACTGGTTTTCTTATTTCTTATTGTTTTGGTTCTGCTCATAACACATACTAAGCTATATAAATGTTTATGATCCTTATTTTAACCAGTATTTTAATACATTAAAAACTATTATGCATCAATCAATCAGTTAATCAATCAATCAATCCATCAACTTTTCTGTCTGTCTGTCTACTGACAGATCTTCTCATTCTGTTCAGAAGTTCAAGCCATACAGTATATCTTAGTAAGCTTTATTTATTTTAGGTTTTTGTGTCCTTGATCTGATGTTTCTCTAGTTTTTTAAGATACTAGTAAAAGTTTACCCAGAGAGGAACTGAAGCTGACCTAAAAAGTAGCAATAACTGTCCAATGTATCTATTGTCTTTGTCTTAATTTACTAGCTATCTATCATTTTGGAGTTTCAGTATTTCTTAAATATAATTTTCTGTCAAGTCTCTCTGTCTTACTCAAGCAATCTTTTAGCATTCAATATTTCCCATTCCGACATACAAACTCATTTATTATAGTGTCCTAATACTAAGTAATATTTCATTTGAAATAGGGCAGTCCTACAAGGCAGCAGAAATCTGTTTATCTGTATCTCCTCTGATAATGAAGGAAAGTGAGATAATTATCTTGGCAATGTATTTTCCGATGCTTTTGTCAGGCACGTTGAATTAATTTTGAAGGACATGCAACTGTGACTGTCCCAATGGGCTTTCAAGTATTTCAAAGTGTAGACTGTCGGGCGAAGCTGATGCTTTTGAGTTTTACCTTAATTGTAAAAACTCTTAGTTCTTTTTCAGAACGTGAGTTAGTTTAGATTTATGTCAGATTCAAGACTGAGACGTCAAACTGTAAATTTGTTTATGAAGTTTCTCAGTCATTCAGGTCATAGTCATTCCAAATGCGGTTGCAATGATAGTGGAAAGGATCAACTCAATCACAGCATTGTAGGTTTTTGAAAGCTGAAATCTGAGTTCACCCCTTCTGTTTGGGGATATCATCGCAAACCCCAATCCCCTTACAGGGGAACAGAATACCTTATTTGTTCCTCCAGGCCAACAATTCCCCATTCAATATTGTCTCAAGTACATTAACACTGTATGATTACATGTAAAAAGATGAGAAACTGTCATGAATTTGCTTTATTGGGGAAGGAGGCAGCAGAGACATGCTTAAATCAAAAAGGAAGACAGAGAAAATAATGTCGACAAAGGATGAAATGGGGAAAGCTTTTAAGAGGTTTTAGATGACTTTTGAAAAAGAAGTTTTAATTTAGCTCTGTAAGGACAGTTTCATCATGCTACCTCAGGAGCAAACATCAGACAGCTGAGCTTGATCATAGATAGACAGAAATTGACCCTCATCCAGATGCAACTTCTGGAGGAGGTGTTGATATTCTCCATACCAGTTCCTTCTCTGGGAATCTAGTCCCCGGGAAGCCGATGGCTTTGTTTGGCTTTTATAACAAAAAAAAAAAAGGATTACTAGTTTTTGAGGACTGTTCCAGAAACGTATTTGTTGTATTGTCTATGGTCTGGTTCCACATGAATGGATGATTGCCTTCCCATACTGGTCTGATTTTTTTTTCTTTGCAGTACATTTTGTATTTGTTGTGTATTTATGTATGTGTATCGTGTTTGCCTTTTTTTTTTTTTTTTCTACATCCGAATTCAAATCAAGTTCTAACAGCTATCCTATCTTGGCGGAAGCTTGTATGTTCAAAGTTTAACTTTGATCTAATGTGATCAGAGCACATTCTCCCATGTTAACTATTTCCGCGATGTGACTTGTGTCAAATACTATACAAGACCTTTTAACTCTTTCTGTTTAAAAAATCACTATTTTGTTTCTACTCTTTTAAGAGATTCAGCGTTTTACATATACTCATCTGTTCTGTTTCAGCTGCAGCGGCTGCCAAAGACACTACAGCAGAGAACTAATGCCACTGGAACACCTTCTGAAAGGAAACCACAATAATATGAAAGGATTTGAGAATAGATCTATTTAGTTGCATTGGAGGGTAAGGACAGGTTGTATACCTTTAAAATTAGGACATGTAAATAGATATTTTGCTATGTGTTCATTTTTTTGTGTGTAGTCCTTCAGTGCTCTTGTCAACTGCTGTGCCTTTTCTGTAATGGTCTTTCACTGCAGTTTGTTGTGACACCTTTAACTCAAGTTTGTTTTTTAAAGCCTTGAAAGTATTTTAATGTTGTGCGTTCTGCTGTTTTGTTGTTCTTCTATTGATTGACTTTAGGTTGTAAGACTTGTGAATCCGTTGTTTTGTCAGCCGTCCTAAAAAATGTCTTGTTTACTTTAGAAACTATACACTTAGTTACAGTATTTAAATATAAATACTTTACATATGAAAAGTTTAGGACAATATCCTGGTGTGATGTTTGTAATTTAATGTTTAAGTGTGTTTGGATAAATACTTACAGGGCTGGATACAGGAGGAGGTGGGTCACAGGGCTATAGCCAATTTGGAGTTTCCTGCCCACTAAAGATTTTTTAACACATTGAAAGGACAGTAGTTTGTTATTTTGGTACATAACAACATATTACACCTTATTCAACTAACTGAAGAGGTTTCTGAAATTTCCCTTGTCCTTTTTAAAAAGTTCCTAATATATATGGCCTACTTTCAAAGAAATTAGGAATGCTATGATTACCGTTTTATACAGAATCCTAGATACAAGTGGACTAAAATTGCATCAGTAAGGCAGTCAGTCATTCCACTGTTGCTAATGCCTTTGAAGTGTGGGTGCACAGCAATGTTATTTTGGCAGGTGACTCTTAGTGTTTTGGAAGTGAACTACATGGAGTATGTGAAGAAGCAGTCAGTTCAATTTACCTTGATCATGTGGAACAGAAATCATAAAAAATATAATATATTGTTTTATGATAAAATACAAAGTTTATTAGTGTCAAATCTTTTCTTTGTTTTTGTTTTTTTGGTATTAAATGTGTTTCATTTTTATATAATTCACACAACAGCTACGTTGTTCTACTGTTTACTGTCATTATTTAGCCATTATATTAGATTTTAATTGACGAGACCATTGGTTTTTATTTTTCTATTTATAAGCCATTGTAAAGAGAACTCTTTGTAAAGGTGTGAATTTTTTAACAGTCACACACCAGAAAAAAAAATGATTGGCTGACATATGCAAATGTTGTGAAACAAACTTAATACATTTCAGTTTATTTTGATCCTCTAACACAACACTTTTTTGTGAGAGTAAGCTTCTTTTAAAGTAATGAAATAGCTATTAGAGCAAAGAGCGAACCAATCATTCCCAAATTCTACTTAAAATTATTGTATTGTAAACTTGGAAAAAAAAGACCAGTGGTTTGTTTTTCAGCTTTTTTGGAATTGTATTGCATAAGATCAAATGTTGTATCTCATTCAAATGACTCAAACCATGCTGATGAAATCAAAACTTGAGAGGTCAAATAAATAGCATTGATCAGATATTTCAATTGAAATGGAATTTGAAATAAAAAACAACTCTAACATTTAACCTTAGCATGACTTTCATAGAAACAGGAAGCTTACGTGCAAGGCTCCATACCTCTTTTATTGTTTTAGACAGTGACCAATTATATCAGCACACATACGACTGGCATAGTTACAGTCTTGTTCAAGTTTCTGCATGGTTAAAACAGCAACATTTACAGAGGTAGTGACTAATATATATATATATATATATATATATATATATATATATATATATATTTTTTTTTTTTTTTTTTTTTTTTTTTTTTGGGGAGGGGGGGGGGGGGGGGGGGGGGGGAGTATAAAATTTAGTGTTATCTTCTATTCAAAACAGACATCCAAAATATGAAAATACCATGTCCCTCAGCTGCTGCCCTGGTCCCTCGTTTCCAGAGTCAGGCCCTGTATGTTTGTCCCTTCAATGTGTATGACTGAGAGTACATCCTATGAGCTGCTTGTGTATCTCTACATGTAGACGTGATGAGCCTTATAAGAGACAATCTTAACTGCCACAGCTCTCTGAGCGGGATTTGCAGGTATCTGTATGAGCTCCTCCAATGTAGTGTGTTTAACCACTTGTGGAAAGAGCTCACACATCAGCTGTGTCACTGCCTTTCTTCTGCACATACTGTATCTACTGCACTGCTGCGTCACTGGCTCCACCAGGATTAACCAGTCTACAGCAGGCTGTGATTAGATTCCTTTTCCAATCACAGTTGCTACTTCTGCAGGCTCTTTGAAGCAGGAGTTTTTACTTTTCTGTCTCATATTTTGTTTAGCTCTGTCATGGTTAATAAATGACCATACAGTCTCTGAAAGTTAAATAAAGTGTGGGTGCTCTGTTGGACAGGAAAGCAGTGTGTTTATGTGCCAGTCTTTATTGGAGGTAACTTGAGGCAAGTGAAATCAAAGAGTGAGAGCAGACTGCTGTACAACTAATGCTGTGTTTATCTTCTGCATAAAGCCTTGTTGTGTAGCAACCTGATGTGCTTTGGCATAAACAAATAAAGTGTGTTCAAATACAGTGTAGTTTTGTTTCTTTTAATTTTTTAAATAATATTCATTTTTCACTTCCAACTTGAGCACAAGGTTCAGAGAATAATCCTCGTGCTCAATGTCAGTCAAGGTTAAACTGCTGTTGAGGCTTTGAGAAGCGTGGAATGGCAATCTGCAGCACAGACTGTTAAATTCTCTACTTTTTTCTACTATGATTCCAAAGGTTGGCTCTTCCCATCTTTATCTGGGCTAAGTTTATGAGACTGTAAATATGTAACTGAGCGGCTAAACTGAAATATGTATAAAGGAGTGGAAAAATTATGCTTATGTGTGTGTGTGGCCATGTTTTTTTTTTTTTTTTTTTTACCTTGTGGGGACTATTTTCCAGGAGTATATTATTCATAGGGTTTATAGGTATTTGTGGGGACCAACCACTGGTCCCCATGAGGAAAAGTTCTCTTGCATGGGTGAGTGTTAGGTTAAGGACTAAGATGTGAATCACGTTTAGGTTAGGTTAAGGCCATAGAAATTAATGTAATATGAACAGAAGTCATTGAAAGTTCCCCACAAGGATAGTGTGACATAACATTTGTGTGTGTGCTGGTGTGTGTAGGAGTGAATGGGGGTGGATCCCTGATAATTAAAGGTAGGTTGCAGACAGGAACACACACCTGGACAGAAGTAATACAGAATCTTCAGCAGCTCAGGTAAGCTGTTCTTTATAAAAAAATATTTCGTAAAATGAAGCTTGATTGTCATGAAAAATTTTAATAAATCTGCGCTTATGTTGCTCACAAATAAGTGAATATTATAGCTTCCTGACAATGGGTCAAGTGTGTTGATAGGTATGGATGTTCATGTAACATTTTGTGTCAAGCACAAAAAGTTTTGCATTTAAAATTAAAAGTGATTTACCAGGGGCAGAGAGCCATACTCAAAAAATTTAGATAGAAAATACAGTAAGTTAAAAACTGTATTTAGACGACATTTGAGATAGTACTCCAAGGTTGTTTTGCATGATACTCTTTTTTTTGGAAAATTATGTTGCATTGTGCCGCTTCTGTCCTTTCTTAAATCATGTTACAGCAAAGTATTACTCTGTAAGGCACAGCTAGTCTTTTGTCGCCCATCTATAACCTTTATTTGACTGCTCAAGGTTCAAGGTTAATGAATATTGGAGCTATAGTGCATTAATGAGTAACACCTATCCCCTTGGTGGATGTCATTAAGCTCACTGATAGATGGAAAAGGCCAGAAAGGTAATACATATACCAGTGAAGTCCATAATTCATTGAAGAGTGTTTTAACTACATTAAAAGGAGAGACAACCAAGGAAACTGTTAGTCTGCTAATCTTTGGGAGTTAATGATTAAAGGTCAAAGGTTCTATGTGTGTGTAGTTCAAGGGTAATAGCAGAAGGAATGGCAGGAAAGGGATCAATAATACCATTAGCCTCTTTAAATTCTCTATAAAGATCAAGGCAGTCACATTGTTACTACAGCAGGCAAACTAATGAGGCAATTTGTCACGACACGCAGAGCATATAGAGTTTCCATGCCTTTCATTAAGCTTTCATCTATAAAGAATAAGCCGATATTAATGATCTTCATCAGATCCTTAGCAGTTTTTCTTAAGTAAGTTCCATCTTAAGGAAAAAAGTTTTTATATTTGCCCATAAAAAAGCTTTCAGATATCAGACCTGCTATACATTGCCAGAAAAAACTATAATATATTACTATAAATAGTATAATGATTGATTACCAGATGCAGTATGCATAAATCATCACTTTTTGTCTTTTGTCCTCACAGTTCTGTCAACTGAACTCACAAAGACAAAACATCATGTCTTCTCCTAAAGGTGAGTGAAGCTGCACATTACTGCGTAATAACACGATATGGAAAAACACTTTACCATGACACTATGCTGTTATATGACCACAGCCACTCTTAGAACCACAAACAACTACTTTCTGACTAATAAATCGCGCAGTATTACACAATAGCTAACGTCCGTTCTTCAAAATGTTTTTTCAAACTCTAAGAGTTAACAGTAATACCTTCTCTCTGGTAGTTTTTTATTCGGGCCCAAGCACTCACCAGGTCGGGGGGGGACTGTCCTTGAGATTGTATCTTCTAATTATGGGGACGTTCTTTTGGAGCAGCACTTAGGGCTATTTTATTGATATTAGGTAATCTAATTCTTATTGTTGAATCATGAATATTGACCCCAACTAAGATAAGTGAAGCCTGTAATGCTGTAGATTGTTCTGATTGGTTTATGGCCTCCTTACTAATAAAGTCTTGGAGTAACTCTGGTTGGCCACCTGTTTCGTTTTGCTTTTGACCATTGCTGTTTTAAATAGTTTTCTCTCCTCCTGAATGATAGATTCCGAAAGACGTAGAAGCTAATAGAATTCAGTATCTTTTACTCATTCATTTAGATTTTTTTATTTTTAAGATTGGGGAATGATTTGTTTGCTTTTCATGATCTTACTCTGCTTCAGGCTGTTTGAAAGGTTCTTCAGTAGTAACATACTGTAACTGTGTACTGTAGTTAAGGCAGTTTGTTGCTATTGATATTAAAGCAGTTAACGGCTTAATCAAAGCTGTTTTATATTTTAACTGTGGGGTTCTTACTTTGTTGAAAAAGATTAGAATTGTATAGATATTTTTTTTATTATTTTATTATTGTTTTTGTTATTTCATGATAATAAAGCAGTTAACGGCTTAATCAAAGCTGTTTTATATTTTAACTGTGGAGTTCTTGCTTTTAAGATTAGAATTGTATAGATAGTTTTTTTATTATTATTTCAAGAAACACGCTTATTCCAAGCGGGGTCGCAAGGGGTGCTGGTCCCTATTCCAGCTGTCTACGTGCGAACTGGACAGGTCCCCAGTCTATCGAAGGGCAGCACAGAGACAAACAGGACAAACAACCATTCATGCACATACTCACACCTAAGGAGAAATTAGAGAATCCAATTAACCTAATAGTCATGTTTTTGGACTGTGGGAGGAAGCCAGAGTACCCGGGGAGAATCCACACATGCTCAGGGAGAACATGCAAAAGCTCCATGCAGAAAGACCCAAGGCCAGGAATAGAACCCGAAACCTTCTTGCTACAAGGCATCAGTGCTACCCACTGTGCCGCTGAGCAGCTTTGGAACAATTATTTGAAAACAGTCTTTGATATTAAAACTTTTTTGAAACATTTAAATGACAAAAAACAAGTAATGGAATAAATCTGCAGCAGGGTGTTATTAATGAAAGAGCAATCACATTTGAGAGATATTTTGCATCCAATAGACATTAAAATATTATTAAGAAAATTATTATATTCGGCGTTAGTACCAACACTTTTGGCATAATTTGTTGTAGATCTTTTAAGAAAGGTTAATCTTGGTAAACAGCAATTATGATGGCAGATAATAAACATTTATGAAGTATGTAACATAGAAACATTAAAAGAAAGAATTAATACTGATTGTAACACAGTTTTTGGCTGTCAAATAATCGAGCTGTAGCACAAGTGGATTTACAAAAAAGCATTAAGCCATTTACATTTAATCTCAAGTTTTTTTTATTTTTATGTTTTTTTTCTTCTCACCCCTCAGATGCACCAACTGACTGGGATGCAGATTTTGTTTATGGTAAGTGTTTCACATGTTCGGAGGGGGGTCCTGCATACATTTCCAGAGTTATAAAGCTTTAAAAAAGTTAGTGTTTCGAGGTTCGAAATATGCACAATTAAAGATAAAAATTAGGAAAATATTGAGAAGTCAAAATGAGAAAAGTCAAAGTTTAAGGATATATTGACAGAAGGCAAGGATAATTGTAATGGTTGAGTGACATTATTCTGTGTCTAATTTTGCAGACTATGAAACTCTGCGTGTGGGAGGACTGGCCTTCGCTGGAGTTATTGTCTTCCTTTCCATTATACTGTTGTGTGGTATGTTATTCTCAACATTTTGTACTGAGTGCTGTAGGTGTGCATGGTTGGTCTTTCAGAGGTATAATAGGATAGAGAACTGTGTGATTAGTCACCTGTCAATGCTTTAACCTGGTAAGAGCCTATTGTTTTAATGAAAAAGACTTCCTCATTTTTTGTTGTTAAAAAAAAAAAAAAAAAAAAAAAAAACAGTAAACTGTTAGCATTAAGTTCACGGGGATCCACTCTACAACTGAGTTTACTAATTTTTGTTGTTGCAGAAACCTAAAAAAAAAAATAAAAAATTACATCTTGATTTTTTGACACATAAAAAAGATTCTGTACTTGTTTTTTTTCCCCTAAGGCAACAAGATCAGAAGGTGTGGCAAACCCAAGGTAAGTTTGCCCTTGTCCAAATTCTACATGGATTTATGGGGACATCTAGTGGTTATAATTGGAATAATATATATTTATTTAAAGGCCAAATTTTTAGCAGGACCCAATGTAATAGCGTTAAGCACCAAATGGAGGTTTTTAATATGATCTCCAAACACAGAGAAAAATATTATTTAGGCTGATTATGTTGTATTCGTACTCCTGCTTGGCTGTCTTAAAATAAACAAACATCAGTAGATTGAAAGTTAAAGCTACATTTTAAGAGCCACTGATTTAGAACTATAAATTAGCTATAAATAAAATGAATTAGCATTTGATTTTAAAGTTAATAAAGTAACTTGGAAATGCATATATTTAATGTAAGAAATATCCAGTGAAATGTATCACATTTTTTTTTATCATCCACAGCCTAAAAAACCTCTTCTGGATGAAGATGATTACTGAAGCCAATGACGAAGCCTGCTAAAAACAAAACAACCATATAAAACCACAGGAGGATGCAAAACATGCTAACGTCAAGTGTTGAGTTGTAAAATATTAGATTTTGTATTAATAAAGTATGTTTAACCACAGTACATTGTGTCCTTGTAGTCAGTGATTCCTTCACAAAACAAAAATAATTAAAAGAGGAATAAAAAGAAGAAGAATCAGAAGAGGAAAACTGATTTTCATACATGGTTGGAGAAAGAACAGCTGTCCTACTCTTTCTATTTGGGGTTTGGTTTTGCTTAATGATAAGTTTAATAATTAGTTTGAAACTCTAATGTTCTCGTCAAGTTTTAATAACACAATCTGCTGATTGTTTTTCTCAGAGAATCCAAATGCAGCTAAACTCAAACTTAACCAAAAGTCAATTGCAAATTAAAAACTGAGAAATATGCACCTTTTTGTTTTTTATGTGGGTGAGTAAGTTTGAGCTTTTTAATGCAACTACATTAGTGGACATAGATTCAAAAAATTTACATTGGTGTTCATTTACTCTTAAGAAGAAAATAAGCAATATCCACATTTTAGTTACAGTTAAACTTAAATATAATTTTTTTTAAGAGTTAGTCCACTAAAGAAATCATGTGCAACCAAGTTTCTTCAGATATCAGATAATTAATATAAGTAGTAAGTTAGATTTAATATTGTTAGCAGCACAGTTGTTTTGTTATGCTCTAAGAGGCTTGTCAGCAGGTAGGTCAGGGATAAAGCTGTAAGGAACTTTCTAGCAGTGGAGTTTTTTGCCAAGTTATGTGTTTTTTAAGTATTACTGTCCATTTTATTATCTGAAACAGATATCTGAAATTTTTGCTGAAGTACAAACCTACCAAGCTATAGCACACATGGTAAGAAAACATTACTCAGAGAAGCAGCCAGAGGACCCATGCTAACTCTAGAGGAGCTGTGGAGAATTGCAACTCCGGATATGTCATTTGTTGATAAGAGTTCAATTAACCGGGCTGCTCAGTGGTGGGTAGCACTGCTGCCTTGCAGCAAGAAGTTTCTGGGTTCGATTCCCGACCCTGGGTCTTTCTGCATGGAGTGTGCATGTTCTCCCTGACCATGTGTGGGTTCTCTCCGGGTACTCCAGCTTCCTCCCACAGTGTTTGTCTCTGTGTTGCCCTGCGATGGACTGTAGACCTGTCTACAGCTGGAGATAGGCACCATACCCCTCACGACCCAACTTGGGATAAGCGTGAAGGAAAATTGATGTGTGGATGGAGTTCAAATAAACCATATGCTTCACAAAACTGGCCTTTTATCCTCCTGGTGAAACAAGCTAAGGACAGAATTATGCAGTAGGAATAATTTCAGGGGGGTTAACAGACATGAGAATGAATTTGTTTCTCAATCATTTGCAATTGGTGTCATGGTCTTGGTTTTGTTAAGTTTTCTTTGAGTTTTTAGTTTCCTGTTGATTCATGTTTTTCTTTCTTTTCTAGTTTTATTGGTTTAATTCCTTTTTGTTGTGTTTTTGGATATATTTAAGTTCTTGGGCTTTTCTTTGTTGCCCTTTGTTGCCCTCTTGTTTTTGTTTCCTTTTCCTGACTCTTTTCTAGAATCCTCTGTTCTCACCTGCTCCCAATTAGCTCATTAGTCCTGCCTTTGTTCAGTCAAACATAAATACTCTCCCTGTGCAGTTCCTCAGTGCTGGTTCCTTGTCCTTCCTCGTCTTTCCCTGGCTCCTCGTGCAGGTTTTCCCTTATGTCTCCATGGATTGGGATTGTTTGTATTTTGTTATGTTGGATTTCTGCCTCAGTTGCCTGTGAGTACAAGGTCATTTCAATTAAATCTTCAAGAACTAACCTCTCTACAGATGGAGAGGCCTCTCTGCCTCTGCATATGGGTCCTCAAACCTCAACCCTACTCTGACAATTGGAGTTTCTAACCTCAAACATATCTAAGTACTCATGAGGCAAAAAGGGGATGCAAAATGAGATGTATGTAATTTTACATTTATGAACAATGCAACAAAAATAAAAATCTAAAACACAACTCGGTGTATTTCTCCTATTTATTCCAACTGTTAATTGAAATATAAATACAAATATTTATTAATATTCAATTTATTGTCAACATCTCTTCTTATCCTTTTTGAAATGGACTATGAGGATTCTTTTCTGCATTGCTTGTACTTAAATTTTGCTTAGGCAAATTAAACTTTTATTTTCAACATTTTACACTGACAACTTTATTTTATTGAGTTTGTTTGTTTTTGCTCTGGATAGCACCAAGTACTGTGAAGGTGTGATCTGGTCCTGTGTTGTGACATGTAAGTCATCTAGATGGGGCACCTGGGGGTCAGATTTTAGGGGGTTCAATGCCTCTACCCCCACCATCCCACTCTTTTAGCTTCACTCCTTGGCAGAGTTTCACCATTCAGCTGTACAGTAATGATGGGACGGCTTAGATCATAGTTTTAGTGCTAGAATAAATAGCTAAAGTAAATACTGAAAATATGTGCCACAACTTCAAATACTCTCATCCTCATTTATTAAAACTCAAATTGATTTGAAAAACAACTAGAGTGTCCAGATATTTAAAGCTGGAAATGACAAACGATTTTAAACTGTACAAACGTTGGTATTTGTATAAAATGTTGGAATCATGTATCATTGTCCTAACACTTTATAATTAGATGATATTTAATGTTGGTTTTTATAAATAGATATCCTGAAAATCGTTAAAATGATTGCCTTTATCATAAATACCTAAAAGTACTTCAAATACTTTTTAAATTGAATTTTATAGAACCATTAGAGTGCTACTGATAGTACACGAGATCAGCATTCCAAAACACATTGAAAATATATACAGTAAAACAAAAGTTTATGAACAGAAAGGTATTAACAAAATTAAGAATAAAAATCAGTTCTAGTTTTTTTTTTTTTTTTTTTTTTTTTTATTTATTAATCTCTCCCTAAAATATTTATTTATTTCAAGAATTTTAACCAGGACAAAAAACAAACAAACAAACAAACAAACAAAAAAAGAATCTACTGGATGTTTGACTTCTTTCAATGGGACAAAACACAAGATGGAGCTATTTAAAAAACAAACACATGACTGGCCAAAATTATTAAGAGGTCCACAACTGAAAGCTCCATCCTGTGGAAAAAGAAACCAAAGTGAAAAACAATAAAGTGAAAAATAAATTTAACTTTCTAAGCACTGTCATAGAGGTAAAGAGTGTTTGTTGAAATTGTTTTTTTGTTTTTTATATACAACAAGGCGGGAATAAAATCAGAAGATCTGCTAATTCTCTGAAAGGACAGTTGTGAAGCTTATCAGATGGTTGAAGGTGTGTCATATTTCATGGTTCCAAAGAAAGAAGTGATCAGGTGTCTTTAGTCACTGAAAGTAAACTGGAGGGAAGAATTTGCCCTTATGTCAGAGTCCGCTGGAGCTGTAATATCTTTGGCCTTTTTAAAAAAAATCACATCTTCATACAGTAGCTGACAAAGCATATAAATCATGGCTACAGAAAACCATACCTGATTAATAACCCTAGAATAAATAAGTCATTACAGGCAGAGACAGGAGCTGTCAAGCGAGTAAGTCCCAAGGACCCCCAGTTCTCCATCCATCTCTGTCTGTCACTCCTCTTTGTTCCCACCCAGCCTCTGGACTTCATTAAAAATGAAGTTGTAAAAGTTGCTGCTGTGTAGTGAAGTCGGCAGTTTCCCCCCAGTACCAGCACTATCCCCAGGGCTTTTTTCAGCTGCTTTCCATGAGGGTTTCAGTTGAGGTAAGCATGGAAAGTCACCTGATAACATCACTGTGGCAGGAGGAAGTTAACGGGGCAACAGAAGCACATACTGTTGCAAATTATGCTGGACAGGTGTGAGAAAGCTGATTAGATAGTGTTCCCATGAGAAGTTGGAGGACTGACAAGTGTTTTGACCCCTGTCCAGGACAAACAAAAGAACCTCAGCCTAACTGATAGAAACAAACAGGTGGAGATGTTTAACGCTTCTTCACATAATCTTTTTGTGAGAGCTTATAGATACATGATGAACAGTGAGGCATTTCAAAGGTATTCACACCTGTTGTACCTATTTACAATTAATCTAAGTCACTCTTTTTGTGCACGCTAAGGTCTTCTGAATAATTTAACAGTTGCTCACAGAATGAGTTTCT